GAACCTACAACCATTTCCGAAGCAATAAACGATGAACATTGGACCTTGGCTATGCAAGAGGAGCTAAACCAATTCAAACGAAATGACGTTTGGGAATTGGTGCCAAGACCCGATGATCGTACGGTTATTGGTACGAAATGGGTGTTCCGTAATAAACTTGATGAAAATGGAATAATCACTAGAAACAAAGCTAGGCTCGTAGCTAAAGGCTACAATCAAGAAGAAGGCATTGATTTCGAAGAAACTTATGCACCTGTTGCACGTTTAGAAGCTATTCGTTTACTTCTTGCTTTTGCTTCGTCTATGGATTTTAAACTTTATCAAATGGACGTTAAGAGTGCCTTCCTCAATGGTTTTATTCAAGAGGAAGTGTATGTTGACCAGCCCCCGGGGTTTGAAGACTTTGAGTTTTCCGATCACGTCTTCAAACTCAAGAAAGCGCTCTACGGTCTTAAATAAGCACCACGTGCTTGGTACGAATGCTTGAGTAAATTTCTTTTGGACAGTGGTTTCCAAAGGGGAAAGGTTGACACTACACTTTTTATCAAGAGTAAACACAATAACATCCTTTTGGTACAAGTTAATGTAGACGATATTATATTCGGTGCTACTAACGAGTCTTTGTGCAAGGAATTCTCAACGTTAATGACAAGTGAATTTGAGATGTCCATGATGCGTGAGCTAACATTCTTTTTTGGACTCCAAGTCAAGCAAATGAAAGATGGCACATTCATTTGCCAAACCAAATACTGCAAGGAGCTCCTAAAACGATTCGAAATGGAAAACGCCAAAGCAATGGCGACCCCGATGAGCACGTCCGACCACCTAGACAAAGACGAAAAAGGTAAGGAAGTTGAAGTCAAAAAGTATCGAGGTATGATCGGATCCCTTCTCTACCTTACTGCTAGTAGGCCTGATATCATGTTTAGCATATGCCTTTGCGCAAGGTATCAATCATGTCCGAAGGAATCGCACTTAAACGCGGTGAAACGGATCATGAAATACCTTGTCGGCACGGTTAACGTTGGACTGTGGTATCCAAAAGGCTTTTCTTGTCATCTTGTTGGTTACTCCGACTCGGACTTTGCCGGTTGCAAATTGGACCGTAAAAGTACGAGTGGGACTTGCCACTTACTTGGTAGCTCTTTAGTTTCATGGTTTAGCAAGAAACAAGTCAGTGTTGCGTTATCCACAACCGAAGCGGAATATGTAGCCGCAGGTAGTTGTTGTGCTCAAATCCTTTGGATGAAGCAACAACTCGTGGACTATGGCCTTAGTATCAG